GCCTTTAGGGTACCACAGCAGGATCTGTGATCCTGGTAGGTCGATAAGTATGAGGTTAATGTTGAGTTCGCACTCGAATTGATCGCCGGACTGGGGCCCGCACGTGATCTCTGGGACCCTGGCTGGAAATTACCTCGAACCTTTGCCAGGGCTGCCAACGGTCCGCCGCGGAACTGTTCCCTTCCATCTCCCTCTCTCACTCATTGTCCAGCTCATAGACGGAAGTTTCCACGACCGTCACGTTGAGAAAGCTGCACGCCTGCTTTCACGAGGCTTATGGTTCCGTTATCGATGCGGGTGACGATCCCGGCCTCGTAGAAATATTCCTCGGCATCATGGCGGTGGCACTTGATGGATCTGCCTGTTACCCCTTCCTCTGCGGCTTGTCTCCTTCCTCCTCTATGTTTCAATGCTTGTGTTTCCCTATGTGCTCGCCCCTTGGACCGATTCCAACTTTGCCGCTATCATTTATAGGCGGCAAACCAAGGATTGCAATAATATCGAGGGTTCATCGATGCACCGCCCTGCCCAGTCACGTAGACCTCAACTTTAGCTGTACGGTCATATGATCTTGCCTGACTATACAGGTGCGCTTCCCCCGCTCCTCGGCTACGATCGAGTCCGGCCCGCCAACGACGGGGAGTAGGTTCCCAATGGCTACCAAGATGATACTTCGTAAGGTAGCCGTGCGTTGCGTTTGAAGGGTACACCGGCAAGGGAACTCGTTGCCATTCTTACTCATGCCTAACTAGTGACTCATATCTGAGATTATTTTACTTTGCTACTCGACCCCGCCCTAGGCATCTGTCGCCTTAGTCCGCATCTGGTGGTATTCACGTCTCTGGAGGGATTTCCTCCTTTTTTAGTCCTGGAAGTCGGTCTCTGCTGGCGAGGTATTTTGGGTCTTGCATCACACTCTCGATAATGCCCCTGTCGGGCAGATTGATCGGTAGACTGAGGGGTCGTCTTGAAGAACATTAGACGTCAAGCAGGCTCCTACCCAGCCGTCGGTGAACGGACAAGTCAAATCCGTTTGATGTGAGGCAGGGTCTGTACGGTAGCCAGTGAAAATTGCCTTTTTTGGATGAACTTGTAGGTCTTGTCCGTTCACCTTAACGACCTGACAAGTGTGGATATAAAAGGAAAAAATGCCGGCCCGGTAAAAACCCGGTTGCCCTATCGAGCGGCTGGGAAGGAGCCTGGACGTCAAGGTGTGGTTTTGTCCAGCTGTCTTGGACACAGGTACTCAACCAAGACCAGAGGGCAGTACGAAGTTGTTTCGGATGCCCCCTTCCTGAAGATCAAGACTTCTTTCGCATAGAGCTTGAACCAGTTGGATCCCCGAATATTCCAATTGTCGAATTGTCTTTGCCAAAGCGTGTTGTCACGCCCTTTGTACCGACTCGTGATCTATCCTACGGCCTTCTCCGACCAACCCGAGCGCTGTTCAGTTATATGTTGATGTTGGCCGCGGTGTCAGCCTCTCATTGTCGCCAGTTTTTTCCGTGGGTGCCACTCTGACAAATCCCGGGACTTTTAATGGCTTTCACATCATATCCATCATTATTGGAGTAAGGCGCTGGAGAGCACAGGTGGTCCGACGTTAAGTGCGCTCTATGTGCGAATCTTCTAGAGTTTCAATTCTCTACCTGATGGCAGCATACAAACGTTTGTGGGGGTTTGGCTCACATGGATATTAATGTCACACCGCGTGCGCCCCCCGTGTTGCATCTGTTCTGTATCTGGGGTTACTGTTTCGAACGTGGAACGCGTTATCTACAACCCAATCCTGAGTGATTCTAATGAATGCCCCTCGCATATATCCGGATTGTACCTTTTTATCTGCAGTCACCCGTTTCCAGGATGAGACAAACCCTTGTCAAGGTTTCCTAAATGATCGTGAGAAAACGTGCTCCGTACGTTCGGCGACCCCGCTCGAGCTGGTTGATGATCGATGATCATGAATAACGAATCCATCTGCATGGAATAGACAAGGTGAACGTTTGAGTAGTGGGCTGGCACCAGGCTGGCCATTGCCGCACCCCAATCGGTGATGGCGAGAGTGATTTCATTGATTCATCACTGAAGGATCATCTCTGGATCACGTGCCGGAAAGGGGACCGTCCGAAGTCCGCCACCCAACTCTCAACCTAGCCGCCACCTCCCCTCAGATGCGCATTCTCCTCGCCCCTCTTCTCTTATCGTACGTCTGGACCGCGCTGGGGATCCCACTCATAAGGGATGCTATCAGAGCCGTAACCTCCGCAGCTACGCTGGTGGATGATGACACGCCGGAGCCTGGTTCCGCAGAATTTTGGTATCATTTGGTGATTAGTGTTGTCCTCGTGCTTGCTGGCGGCGTGTTCGCTGGGTAAGAGGCTAGTTCCCGTCGCAGTTCCGAATCACTCTCGTGACGATGTGGTCTGTTTGGGACCAAGGTTAACACTCGGTTTGATGGGCCTGGACGAGCTCCACCTTCGCGTTCTTGCTGCGTCTTCTGAAGACCCAACTGAGCGATCAAATGCAAAAAAGGGTTTGTGCCTCCTTTAGCTACAACAAGTCGCGAGTTTAACCACACGACCACTACTCAGTCTTGGGACTGATCACGAAGGGCCGCCACTGGGTTCTAGTGGTACGTTACCGTCCGCTTTAATGGCCGTAATCCGCATGTGACGTCTATTAGGTCCTGTTGCTCGGGAACGTCGTGAGTTGGATGTTTCAGCATTGGCGGTGACCTAATTCACGTCTGCGGCCTCCGATTCGTAGGTCATCAACGAAAGTTTGCCCATTTTCCTTGACAATGCCGTACGTGCCATCACGTTCTTCGACACTAGTGCTTACGAGTGATTTAGCTTGGCGGAGGATTGGCTGCTATCGTCATTTCTACCGTTATGATTGGTGAGAATGTCACATTCGCATCGTAACTCGTGCTGATGCATTGTCGTGTGTATAGTCATTTTTGGGTGAGTCGACTGTATTCGGCTGATAACGAACTTCTACTGACCCCATGCATTCAGAGAGTACGTACGATGCAAGCCAAACAACGTTACCCCATTGTTGACCAAGAGTTTAGGATCATTCCCCAGGCGGTTAGTGTGCGATACGGTCTCGGAATCGGTGCCCGATGTGCGCCCCTTGTTTTGGCCATGATGTATATCCTTGGTTCGTTATCTTTCGGTGCTCATTCGCCAACCCTCGCTCAAGCAAGGTCCTAAACCAGCGCCCATCGCGTGGCCCATTGCCAAGTTGCTCGATTGGATCCTTGGCGCAAACGAAACTCACACTTACAAGAAGGCAGAGCTCAAGTCTTTCTTGCAGTTCCACCGACAGGGAGAGGAACCTCTGCGGGACGACGAGATCTCCATTTTGAACGGTGTTCTGGAATTGAACAACAAGCGGGCCGAGACCATTATGACACCGATGAAGGTCAATTTTGAACGAAATTCCACGCTCCCTCTCCCCTCTTCGCTAATTTGGCTTCTGCTTTAGGATGTCGTGACCGTTAGTGCCGACGACATTCTTGACCACCAGAAGTTGGAGACCCTGTTTGTCTGGTCTCCTCATTCCCGAATGCAGTAGCTGAATTTTGACTAGACTTATGAGCGGTTTCTCGCGGTTCCCGGTACATGAGCCCGGTCGTCCATTGGCGTTCGTCGGACTTTTGCTCGTAAAGAAAGTGAGTTTGGTAGCTGACCACACCGGCTGCGATGCTTATTGCCATGCCAGCTCTTGACCTACGACCTCAGTAAAACCCTGAGAGTCTCCGACTTTCCGCTCTCGATTCTACCTGAAGCTGGGCCATCAATCAACTGTTTTCAAGCCTTGGACTACTTGTAAGGTCTATCATAGTCCGAGTGTGCGGCGTACTGAGCTTTTTGTGCCAGCCAAACTGGCCGCGCGCACTTGTTGCTCTTGACTAAGACGCCTGGCGAGGCTGGAGGTGCCATTGGCGTAATCACTCTTGAAGGCGAGCACTCATCCGTACGTGTTTTTGGCCGCCCCAACTAACGTCCGCTTCGCTTCAGATATCATCGAGGTTGGTCATACCGCCCATGGCCACCTATATCACTGACGCCTAGCCATAGGAAATTATCTCCGAGGAAATCGTTGATGAGACAGACCGATACGAAGACAACCGGCACAAAAAACGTGCGAAGAGGATGACTACTGCTGCGGTAATGAGAGGGTCAGTGCCCTACTTTTTTTCTCGTCCAGATCGGCACACTAACCCTGTGGTTTACTGGTTCAGAATCGTAGAAAGGTCTGTGCGCGTGCGAGGGCCAGAGTTAATACCGACAATTGGATCACCGTCTCCCCATGAGTCTACCCTATTGATTCCTGGTACCTCTCCAGACCCTGGAAAGACCGGGAAATACGGATCTTTTACCGGCGAATCACCGAAAGCCTAACTAAGAGTATCATTGTTGCTACTTCCTTGTCTCTGTTCCTCTCCAACCAATATCGAGAGTTATCTTTTTCCATCAGCCTCGGGTGTCATACGTGTAGATACGCATAAATATACACATACATATTTGTTATTCTCTACCCCTTCCTCATTTTCGCACTTTGCATACAACTATTGCATAACAAGACTGGTACAGAAGTTCTCCATCATACCCTGTTGTACGACCATGAGTCGCACCTCCCCTTTACACGGCAAAGCAGAGATATTTATTCTAGATATGGGTTATATGCAGCCGGAGGGCAGGGATGATATCCACGGCCATAGGACCTTGAAAGCACCGCATCCCGTCCGATCTGCGAAGTTAACCAGGGTGCCGCCTAGTTAGTACCACGGTGGGGGACCACGCGGGAATCCTGGGTGCTGTGGTTTTTGTTATTTCCTTCTATTTTTCTCTCAACTCACTTTCCCTTCAACATCTACCTACTTGGTTCTGCCTATGCAATGTTTTCGAAGGCTACGTGCACGGCCGAAATCGAGTGAGAATCAGCCGTCTTACTTTCAGGTCCTTGATGACGAAAAAGTGATCGAAAGTGTCGGGCGTTTAGCTCAGTTGGTAGAGCGCACGCTTTGCATGATCGCGTGGGACTGTTTCTATAAGAACCGCGTTGCCTGCGTGAGGTCAGGATTTCGAGCATCCTATCGTCCAAAGGTTTCTTTTTCTTCATACACGTAACTATCTTCACCTTTGTTGGCTCAGAGAAGCACTGAAGCGAAAGACATATCTGCCTGATCTTGCTGAGTTGAGCGGTTGAAAGCATAACCGTACATATCTCAACTTTGGCGTACGTACAACTCCTAACGTGCCGTAACACAAGGTAGACCCTAGGAGAACTGGGCCACCGCTTGCTGCCATGCCTCATCTATCGACATCTTCGGCCGAGCCACTGCCGAACCGTCAGAAGGTTCCTCAGTATCCAGATTCATCCCAGAGTCTTCACCCTCCCGTGCATCCTCGTCTTCATCCTTCTCACGCTCAAGTTTCCGCTTCTTCGCCAGATGATTGAGATACGCGAAGCTATGCCTCGGTTTTTGAACAGGTGGGGCAACGTCAACGGGGGGGCTCGCGAACCACAACACTTCGTTCGTTTGGGGGTCTCTGTCGAAATGTTTCGCTGCCCAAAGGTTTTAGCGTTGTACCCTCACTCGCGGACTGGCAACTTTATAGACACGCACCCGTTTCTGGAGGGAGTTTCTCCAAAATGACGTTCTGTGATCCAACGACGCTCAGGCCGCCGATTGCCGCCAATATCGACCGATCTTCGTTTGCCTTCCCACCTTGAGATGATAACGTCCGCTGTGGTTGCGAAGTAAGGGAGGATTGATACTGATACACCGGCGTTGACCCGGCGGCCGTACTAGTTGTCGCAGTCAGCGGGATGTTGAGCAACGACGTTGACGCTGCCCCCGTGGCCGGAGTCGGAGGTCCAACGTATACTCCCCTGCTTGGTCCAGCGTAATCCGTCTGGGTGACAGTATTAGCACCAGCCGCTCCTTTCCTCGGTCGTTTCCTCCCAATCCCACCGCCCTCGTGCTTATCACCCTCAGCTTTTTCCACGCTCTCGCCCAATCCACCTGTGCCACGTCCGCCAGTCAGGAATGGGCTCGGGTATCTCCTAGGGAAGACAGGCGCCTCAAACGAGTAGATCGGCATGAAATCCGCACTCTTCCGTACTTCTTCTGGCACACATGAATTCCAATTCTTGATCTTGACGAAAATTCGTTCGCGGTCGTTATACCGTGAGTCACATACGTAGAGAGGGAATCCCGGATACCAAACCGGTGGGCGTGGTCTGCCACGGATGTGACGTGCGGTAAATTGACAGGCGATCTTTTCGATGATATCGTCCAGAGGGTGATCGGCGAAGTGACCTATGTAAAGTGTCAGCGTGTACTAGTGAGCGAAGAGATGAGAACGTACTCGTTTTGAAGACTTCTCCTTCCCAGAATTGACGGTGAGGAGGGTGTATCGTCTGCTCGGGACGGTAATACCAGCACACGGTCACTCCGAGTTGACCCATCCGAGCACTATACATGGAGTTGGCGAGTGGGGAAAGGAAAGAACCTATAACAAACTCACGGTTCTTCCAGCTGGTAGCACTTGAAGACCTGTCCAATGATGGGTTTGCTCGGGTCATCAGGATTACACAGGTGCAGCCAATCCGCGACTCGAATTTTCCAGCCCCTGTACTCAACTTCCTCCACGAACTTTCGGTCTTTGGTCGAAACTCGAAATGTTGTGACGGCCCTCGAAGCCTCGCCCTCCGCGGCGTTCAAGGGTCTGGCTGTGCCTGGTCCCGCAGGTAGGGAAGCCCAATTCGTTGCAGTCTTATAAGGTGGCCCACTTGGAGGGTTCGGGGAGGTAAGGGCTTGGTAAAAGCGCTTCGGCACGATCAGTAAGACGCGGATGTGTGGGATATGCGACTTACCTGTAAAATCAGTACACCACCATAGACATCACTCCCAGCCTCATGGAATCGGCGAGCTTTCAAAAACAATTCGTGCACCTCGCGATCGAACTTCTGCGGGTTCTCATACTCGCCGGCCCGAAGTCTGGTCTGTAATCCCATCAATATCCCCGTGCTGTTGCGGCCGATGAATACAAAAGCTTGCCTCAATGAGCTTCAAAGACAGGGGTCGCTGTTGTGGTATCATCGTGAGTGATCATTATCGGTCAATACGGTCCCGTATACCTACGACTTGTGGGAAATTGAGTTTTGAATCCATATCCGGAACCGTGTCCAGGATGGTACTGAGTCGTGTTCCACTGTGGCAGAATGTTGGAATCATTGGATCTCGCGGGGGAACGCTGGTGCGTACATTGTATCTTTGTAATCCCGTAGTTGTTCAACGATCGGCAGAGCATCTGCCTGAATTGCCTCGTTGAGGTTTCGGGGGTAAGAGGAGTGAAAGACGCACCAGTTGTATCGCGGTAGACCATCCTCCAGGTCCAAAACCCTCCCACCTCGGTACGCTCTTCTCCAACTGTTTCACAATCTCATCGCTTTGTGGTACCCTCGAAGTTTCGTTTGTCGGCTCAGACTCAGACATTCCACCGTCAATATCGACTTCAGAAGATGCTCTTCGTTGATTCACTGATGTTTGATGACTAGGAGGTGGCAAAACTTGTCGTCTTGCCCACTCCGCCTCAAGGATTCCCTACAAAGCAGAACGCGTTATACCGGTCCCGGGTTTAGGGCTTCTCATCAACCACGTTGAACTTACTTTGAGCGTGTTCGCGTCTTTTGCTATTTGGCTGTCTTCTCTGTTGTAGTGTAGGGCGTTCAAAAAGATGAGGTTCAGATCGTCGTAAACGGCTTGTGCGTCCTTGAACCGGTTGGCCTTGAGATCGGCAAGAACGCCGTTCAAGCACTTTGGATCTTGAATGACCTAAAACAACGCGTTCTTTCGCTCGTACCGAAATCCTAGAATCAAAGATTGTCGTTCATACCTCGTAGTATTCGGGTAAGTCGTCCTTGTCCACAAGATCCATGAACATTTCCCCCAGTTTCCGTTTCGCGCGAGGGCCGGCCGGTGCTGAGCAGAGGATGTTGATGACTTCATTGGCCGCGGTTATTTGAGGGGGCGATAGCGGCATGATAGAAGATGGGTAGGAAGGATACGACGTCACGCGAACCGCGGCCGGTGGCTGAGGATAGAGAACGGATCAACCGAGGTACGGTCGTTTGTGGCCAACGCGTTAGCCAAACACGTTCTCGACTGGTCCGTGCGCGTCCGTCGGGAAGAATAAGTTCGGCGCCGAGATCGATCGATTTTTTTTCTTCATCTCTTGTGCTCGGGCATGTACTGTCGCCTGTGAGGTTTCTACCGAGGCACAGTTTTTTGCTGATTGCAAATTACACATCCTGACACGTCTGACGAGCTTCGGCTGTCGGCAATTTTTGGAAATTTTCTCATCTTCATGGCTTTCTTGGACTCTCTGGTGACAACTCCATGCAGCGGGTTTGAAGTGATTTCAAGATGAGTACTTAGCATTCCCATAGTTTGCGAAATAAAATTGCTTCGCTTTCATGAAATGTGGATCTTTCTGTTTTGAGGTTCTCATGGATCGCCTCTTTGCTCATGAGTCTTACCCGGATGGATCCGCAGAAACCTATGATTGCAACGTTGGAAGAACAAAAAAACACGTCGATATTCATATGCATGTAAGGTATACATGATATCATCTAGAGCAGTTGGATGATTAAAACCTCGGACAACCCACCAATCCCTCAATAGAATGATGCTGAAGCTCATTCCTAGCCTTGAGAATCGCCGCATCCATCGCCACGCTCAACTTGGCTTCGAACCGTCCAGGAAGGTGATCTGGTTCTGGATCCTGATCTCATGCACGATCAGTTTGACTGTCATGTGTCCCCCCAAGGAACTTCACCGCTAAGGGTAAGTCGACAGCACACCAGGTGGCGGACACGAGGACCACAGACCTTTTCGTTAGATTATCCCGAGTCCCAGAGCTCGGAATGTATCTCGAACCACTGACCGACGAAGTGACCCCACCGGATGCTCAAGCCTGCCCCCGATGTCAGCACTATGTCACGTCTGGTTCCAGGAACTTGCCTCTTGAAACCATCCTCTGAGATTCGTTTCTATACTCAGCCGCTAACCACTCAATATCTTTGTTATTTTCCACCAGGTCTAGCATCTGCCCATACATCCTGGCCGTCTCCATCAAACTGACAGCGTGTGGGTACACCCTCTTCGCATCTTTCGCCATATTCGTGATACCATGCGGGACTTGGAATTTGGAATCCTGACCACAGCAGGTTCCGAACTTCCTTGAATGTGATAATCTGGGGATCAAAGTTCACCGCGAGCTGGTACCCCCAGCCACGCAACTGACGATCTTGAGCTTGAACGATCGACCGTTAACGCCCATCCCTCGTCGGTTGGCGTCCTGAAGCCAAGCGTCGAAAACGGGCCGAGTATCCAACTCCCTGACGAAGGCAGTTGATTCAGCTTGGAGTTTCTGACCTTCGGCGTACAGTTCCCAACCTTTTCCGAGGACGTCTTCCACACGCTTCATATACGTGAGTAATTGATTCTCAATCTGACGTGCCCAGACGATCGCTCCTACAATTGGAGGAAGGTCTCGCATTTGAACCACTAGCTTCCAGAAGCATGTTCTCGTCCGACCCACTACCTTCTAGGATGTTTGTTTGAAGTTGTCCCGTTGTCGCCCGCCGACGAGATTACGGATCATCGTGCCTTATCGTTCAAACTCGAGAAGCAAACCGAACTCGTATTCGATAGTGTTGGATTAGCTCCCTCAGCGCCTCTACATCCTCTCCACTCAAGGCCACCTTATCCCTTGTTCGTTACACTAATCCTGGAAATCGTCTTGGACCATCCGTTCTCCAACCCACAACCCAGCACATCTTATCCTTACTTCCACAATCACACCGCTTTCCTATGCAGGCTTACACCGGTCTCCAGTCACGACCTCTTGAGGGCCTACTAGTCCGCTTCCTGTATTTTGTTCTATGCCCTATCCCCCCCCCCTCTCTCTCTCTTTATATCAACTCGAATGCGTGCAAACATCAAGTCCAATGCATCATAACTCTGTTCTCGATTCATTTCCCCTCCGCTCTCTCGATGCGTACACCTTTCCGTAAACTGTAAGACTGCGCG